GTCCAGAGTTATTTTAGTCAACACTCTTTCTGGTGAGTTAATTACAGTATATTCCATCTTATTACTCCCTTCCACAAGCTTCAGAGTAATCTTGTATGTTTTTTATGTCAAGATTGTGTCTTAAGACTGTAAAACTATCATTTACAGTTTTCCATACTTGAAAATTTTGGTAGAAGGTTTAAAGTCTCTAAAGTGCTAGATTATACAGAATTATTTTTCCTTAATGAATCAGATTTATAAAAGTATGTGCCAAAACTGAACAACTTTTAGTATTTTTCATATATAACTTCCTTTTCAGTTTCTGTTGATGTCATCCAGAAGTTGGTGATCGAGCTACTTGACGATTCTTGAAAGATGGTGATGCGATTAATGCACCTTTGTTGTTCCTATTTCTTCCTTTTTAAGCGATACAAAACTCACTACATTAAAATCTTTACTTTGGATGAAAATTTAAATTTAACATCTTGAAATTTAAGTTAACTTTTAGCATTGGCAGACATAGCAGTAATGAGACTCCAGGCTTAAAGGCCTGGGAATTTTTTAGTGACTGGAGTCTTGACAAAAATGCACAATTTCATATACTTCATAGAAGATGTAGTGATATATATTTATATGTAAAGCATTGTGAAGAGGAAAGGAGAAGATCCGATCCCTTTTACATGCTAATGCCATATGGTACAGTCTCATATATTGCTGTGCCAAAATGATTGCTCTCCAGAAATGATATGAGGCTGCAATAGCAGCGGTTCGTTCCAAACGATGTGTGGTGGCATTAAAAGAGGATAAATGAACTTCACTAAAAAAGGGGAAATGGCTCATTCCACTTGCGTGTGAATAATTGCAATTAAATATACAAAATATGGCTTAAATCCATGGCAGTTTTAAAGTTTTGCTCATCTAAAGGATATTTGTAATTAGTCCAGTGTGTGCCTATCAGCACTGCTCAGCAGTCTGTGGTGTTTCCTGGTTTGGACCCGCTAATTAAGACCTAAAAGTTGCTACAAGTCGTCTTATTTCTACCTCATGTTAGTGATGAGGAAGCAGACCTAACAAAATTCAGTATTTGAATAGCACACTGCTTCCTTAATTTTTAAAAGACTTATTTGGATTTTGTCCTAAGGACCAAAATTCCTATCAGTTTGCACCTCCACACCTGAAATCCACTCTGACTTGGGTAGCAGAGCTCAAACTTTGTTGATTAGAAGCAACAATTAATAAACAGAAACCTTATGGTTAGCATTGAACCAGTGTAAAACCCAAAAAGATCAGAGTAGCAACACCTTTCCCACAACAGTGCCATCCTGCTACTTCCTTTTTGGTATTTTCTCAAGACCCCAGACCTGAATTTTGTCCTTTGTCTGATTTTTTTCACCAGTCCTTGGAATATAACATATTTTTTAAACTTCGGGAGACCTTCACTTGTGAGAGGCACCAGTGGTCTATTTTCTGGACTGTGAAGAGCTCCTTTGGAGTGAAGAGGGCCCTCACACGTCCTCTTTTGTTGATGTGGCAATTCTCACCAGTTTTGAGAAAGGGCAGGATTCACTGTGGAAAATTTAGCCTTGAAAAGAGAAAAATCTAACCCTGATTTTTCAAGGGGACCTGGGACCACAAGAAAAGAATTCCTGAAATTTGTTCTGAGTGTCTTCTGAAATCCCAGAGATATAAAACATGCTCTATAAGGAATACTCCATAAGCATAGTTTGTCTTTCATGCATGCAACTTTCCCAACCTAAGCTGATGTGTTAACTAATGTGTTTGGTTAATTTGACTGTCAAAATGCTAAATGACATCACATTTATAATCCTATAATTAAATTGTAATCAAGAAGGGTTTGAATCAACTAGCTAACTGCTGATGTGCAGCAGAGACTTGAGAGTTGAGTTGTATCAGAAGAAATATAACTTCATTGTGTACCTTTAATTTCTTTTCCTTTCATGTTGCCTGTTTGTGTAGCTTCATGATTAACTGTTTCAGGCTACAACTGGTTGTTTGTGATTCAGTTATAATTCAACAAGAATGGCATGACACTGTGTCATAACATGCAAACAAACTCCTTGGAAGGGGGCTTAGATTTTTTGGAAAATATGATTGGAGTGGCTCTGCAAACAGATGCAAAATACTAGAATAAATCAGAGCAGAGTAATGGTCCTAAAATATAAGTAAACTTAGAAGACAAGATAAAAATATGATAAAAATAAGGATGAAAAATTTATTGGAACTCGTACAGTATATTTTCTAATGATGATAATGTGTCTTGCTGATAAGAGATGTGAGATAATTTTGCACTGTTGTAGGTATTCATTAACATAAGAGTAGTAGGTAAAGTTGCTAATTTTACAGCAGTATTTTTGTATAATCAGCCTTCATGCAAGGTGTGTTTGTTTATCTATATCTTTGTGTGAGTTTTTATGATAATAACATCAAGTAAAACAGGAATGTTCTCACTGCAATCCATTACTTATATATTTAACCTTTTCTGTCCCCTTCCTTTTTACTCTCACTGCATTTTTTCTTTACCACCATACTTCCATCTCCCTGCTGGCCACCACTCTGTTGATGCAGGATACTATTGGCCTTCCAGGCTGCAAGTGCACACTGCTGGCTCATGTCTAGCTTCCCAGATACCTGTAAAGAGATTTCTTCAAAAGCATAAAATAAGAAGGAAAGAATGATAATGAACCTACGGCTGTACCTTCCACTAGAGGAATAAATTTTCTATTCCCCTGTTAAATATGGCCTGTCTCCCCATGTCACGAAGGTATTTCTTTTTTCCTTCTTTGAAACACTTGTGAACAATGGAGAGGGGAAACAGAAAGAGAACAGTGGGCTTGTTCCTCAGTCATAGGAGTTATTCTGTTTTTTGTCTTTGATAAAGACAAGAAAAAGACTGAGGTTTTAAAGGAATAGGGTATTCCATGGAAAACCTAGATGTTCACAGCTTTAGGAAGTGATTTTGCAAGCTGAACTGTGTTTCTTGAATTCTTGGAGTTATTGAGTTTTGGATGATATCAAACAGTACAGAAATCCACCCTGGCCCATTGTGATTGCAATGTGTCAGGTCCCTGATGTCAGAGGACCTAAGAGAGAGCTAGAGCAGCAGAGGTACACCAACTGTATCTGCCGTAGTTAGCATTGGTACCAGAAGCAATGTAGATGCAGCAATGACATGATTTCTGAGACACTAGTAGGTTTGCAGGTGATTCTGGAAAAATATTGCCGTTTGTAGGGTAGAATATTCCATGAGAAATCAAGCAGAACTGTTGGTATTCATACCATTACGTGAATAAGAATTTCCAGACTGTCATTCTTCTTCCTCAGAAACTTTTCAATGTGGTGTATTTACAGTAAGAAGAGTAGAACTGCCAAAACAAAGCAAAATAAAACAAGGCCCAACCAACCACCAAACCTCAAAACTAATCAGCCAGAGTTCAACTTAAAGGCCACCTATTAAGTATTTATGGAGTGAAAGCAAGCGGGAGCGTGCAGGAAGTTTCAAGAGACCTGTATTCTAAAGCAGTAGGAAATTTCATTGCTAAAACTGTGCTCTTGGAGAAAAGCAGACATGTATGACTTCTTTTCAGATTATTTGGATGCAGACCTCACAGTTGAGTATCTACTGTGTCTTTTTCCAAAGAGCAGCTGTTTGTTGTGACATGATAAGGAAAGAAAGTTGAATCTTCTCTGTGAAGTCTGTAATAACTGGAATGGTTGTAACTATACTAAAGACGTGCACAAGGACCTAAAATAAGATTCCTGATGTTCTAGCTTTTCACTGTATTTTTATTAAAGGGATGACAAATACTCTTTTAGTCCCATTATATGCCCAGTGTATCATGTGTATAATTTTTTCATGTGGTTTGGAATCAGATTAAAACTATACAAACCAATATGAAAAGACACTGTTTATCTCAGATGAGAAGAAATAATAGAAAGAAAAGAGAAAAGGCTGAGGTTTGATAGCACTTTGAATTTGGTGTGTGTGATTGCTCGTTATTCTTAACACTGAATCATCTCATTGCTGAATAACCTATCTTAGATCACAGCAAAATACACACAGATCACAGTATCTAACATATATTACAAGGACAAAAAAAAGTAATTTACAATTTATAAACATGGTTTTGGTGAAAACTGGATAAGTCCTATTCTGCATTTGGGATACAGGTTAAGTAATTTGCATGGCATCAATTGCAATGTTTGATTAAATGAAAATGTCCATACTGATCTGCTTAACTCATCAGAAATATTGTCTTCTAATTAACCTAATTAACACCCTGCCTGTCTTAAATTATATTGTTCTTACATAGATTTTTTTTTTGACTTATCATATTCTTCTGCAGTGTTATTTCATGTAAATACCTATCTACCTTTTTTTTTTTCTTTACAATGACAGTAATTATTTAGGATGTGATGAAATTTGGTTATTTTTACTATAACTTCAATAATATTGATTTCATAATAGATGTTGATGCCAATAAGCATTTAAATATTTTACAGTGGCTATGTCAATAGTGTATTAATTGTGAATGCTTTTACCAGTACAGAGTCATTCATTGTTCTGCAGATGACTCCACTCAGTGAAGTGCTAGAATATACTGATTTTATTGTTTTCTTTCCAGCCCAAGCTGAATTTTCATGAGATAAAAGGAAGATTTAATAAGGGCATTTTAATAAGATGCAGCTTTATAAAGTTAAAATGTTTAGCAGAAATATACTTGAGCTAACTTACAGAAACTGAGTGAGGAGCAATTAGATCACTTCACAAATAAGAAATTTTGTGGTTTTTTTCTTCCCTGAGGGAAAGATAGTACATCTAAAACTATGGAACTAGCTTGGGAGATCCCTTGAGTTTCTGACTGTGTTGTCTGTGATGATAAACATGAGGAAAAATAAAGAGCCATTTCCCATATATCCCACAGCAGTGATGTAGCTGCCAGACTCTAGAGTCTTCAGGTTCCTTTGTCACCCTCCAATTTTGCAGAATTGTTGGAAATAGCTCAGTTTTGCTTCCCAAGATGCTCTGACGTTTTGGAGACCCTGGACGTTTTGCAGAACAGATCTCCTTCACTCTGTGCTGATATCAAGGTGCTGAGTTTGGTGTTTTGCTTTGACTGAACTATGTCTATGGGGAGACTGGGAAGGAGCTGTGGGGAAGGGATTTTAATACAGAACAGTGGAGGATTGGGAATGCTGGGTGCAGTTTGCAGCAGAACAGTGGGACACTGAGGTAGAATATAAGGAAGAGGGATTGAAGGAAATGAGAGAATCCAAGTGGGAGTTCTGTAACTTTTGTAAAACTTTAGGTAAATTTGGTGTTATGCTGTATCAGAATTAGGTCTCTGAAAGCAGCTTCCCCCAGTCAAGGAAAGTGTACAGCAGGTAACCCTGTTATTTATAATACTACAAACGATCACTAATCATTTTCTTATCAAATGTCTTCACATTTCTTCTCTTGTAGGCCAATGTTAAAAGAACAGTGTGATCATGCCACTTGGCACCTGCTTGTGATCAGTTCTGAGGTTTGGAGTGCATGGAGTAGAGTAGGAGCACAGGACTTAAGAGATCTTCTGAATTACCCAGCTACCTCAGTTAGTGCCTCTCATTCCCAGGCTTCACACTGGAAAACCCTTTACCAGAAGCAGAGTAAATGACTCTGTAATAATGGTAAGGATTTGCTGGTATTCCTCCTGCTGACAGGTTTTATCCTGTGGTATGCTGCTGGAGCTCTTAGTAGTTCTCTCAGCTGAAGCATCTGCCATTGCAGTTCAGTTGGTGCTGCAGGTACCCAGAATGCCCATAAACCAAGCCTAACTTTAGGTTAGCTTGGTTAATTTACGAAAAGGTGATTCCTGCACTCATAGAACTTGCATGATACTAGCATGTATGTCATACTGAGGTAATACTAGCACTGACACAGATACCCAGCATCATTCTGTCCTTGCTCTACATTCCCAATGTATGTGCCCTGTGCTGATGCCACAAAGGTGGTCTGGCTTTTAGGTACTCCTTCATGCAAACAGCTGCTAAAATAACACCAGCAGGCATTATAAAATAATAATGAATAGTAACAATCCCAGGAGTGGCCTGCCCCCATTTGCTCAGCTGGAGGGTAGGATAAATTGTAGCATGTTCTAGTTAAGAGTTTAACATCAGTGGGGGATATGAGATAGCCCTGCTTTATGCAGATACTTCACACGTGGATATCTGCTAGGCTGAGTCTCTGCTGACTTGCCTGTTTAACTTGGCTGCCACAGGCACTTCCTGTTTAGCTGCTTTCGTGCATTATCAAGGTGTGGGAAGAAAGCAAGCCGTCTCTTTCATTTCTGTGATATGTGCCAGTGGGCACCTCGTAGAAAGTCTTATATTAGAAAGAAATAAGTGTAATCAGAGAAGATCTCATGGATAGCTGCTGGGCTGATTACTTGCCTTACATATCATTATCCCAGGATATCTGCAAATAAAAAGAGCTGTTACAAGTTAGGTGTTGAATCGGCAACTTCACAGGAAACTAAAATACTTCAGTATAAACTATTTCCCCAACTCCCTCCCACCCAAACAGTCTACTTAATGTCTACAGACGGCCATGATTTGCTGCTATTTTTCTATTACTGAGCATAAGCTGCTCTGAGGCCTTCCAACCCTGCTCAAACAAATATCGTCCATATTTATTCAGTGCTGTCAGTTACTGTGAGACAGCCAGAGCCTATCCATAAGTCACCTGGCTCTGCTTTTGGTTTTGACTGCTGATATCATGCAGGGGACTCCACTCCCATCAGTAGTGCAGCAAAACTGACTCAAAATTAGAAAGAATTTCACATGTTCCTGAAGGAAATACCAAGAAGTAGCATCTTTGATAATCCAGTAAGTGGCTTTTCCCTTGCTGATAACACCTTATTTGTCACAGGGGAGAAGTCTGGAAGAAATGCATTTTTCTTGCTTTAGGAATTTGCCAATCATTTTGGATTCATAGAAAAGAGGTCTGGAAGAGCTCTAGTGAAATCTGATGAAGAATGAAATATATGCCTGGCAGCACTGTGCATGGGGCCAATAATGAATCATATGATAGCTTCAGTTAGCTTGTGCATGCCAGTGAAATCTAGTTATTGTTTTTTCTATCATTTATTTCACAGCTTTGCCTATCTCCACAGCTGTAATTGTCATTCCATCAGGGTTCTAAGAAAGCAGAACCATCTGGGGAAATCAGCACTGCTTCACTCAGTCTCTGCCGGAATTAAAATGATCTGATGTGAAGATGAAGGAGAAAAAAAACTCCAAAATACTTTACTGTGGGAATTAAACAGGGCTGTTGACCAGTATCTATAGTCCAGTGTGAGAGAAAAATTATATTTAAATCCTGGAATGTAAACTAGCGTTATAAAAAAGGAAGGAGAGAATTTGATTCTATTTTAATAGAACAGAAATTGCTGTCCTGAAATTGTTGTGCGTGCATACTCTAACAAAAGCCAATGAATTGTTCCTAGTTATAAAGATGCCAGGATGAGGCTAGCATGTATTAGAATCGGTGAAAACAATACTAATTCTCATTCCTAAAATATGACTTCATACTCCCAGGATTGACGAGATGAAGGATATGCAGTAAATTAGTCCAACATCCTCTTACCTCTAGGTCTGAACCCTGCTTAGATCATTGTTTGAAATAAATTACTGTCTTTATCTGAAGCATGTCTCCTCTGAATATTTATTGGCACCACAAAACTGCTTTGGCATCTGGCACAAGTTGACATGATTCACTGTCACTGTTCAAAAAGAGCAGGGAACAAGTGAGACTTGAGTTCCTGTAATGGCTGGAAGTCTGCACAGGGACTGCTAAACTCATGTTACTTCTGTCAGGTCTGCACTTTCAAAGCCATGCAGGAAGCTAATGAAAGAGGTTTGTGTATATGTGGGTGAGAGAAGAATAACAAAGACATTAGCGAGACAGTCCTTTAGAATGATCACCTATCAAATACAATTCAGTGCTGATGTCTTAATTGCTGCTTGCTGCTTATAATTTAAATTTATGTCATAAAATTCTCTATGCAAAGAACACGTTGGCTAAATTATCAAATAATATGAGATTAAAGTCACATCAGGAAATCTCATTAAATGAATAATTCTCTGAGCACCAGGGCAAATGAAGTGTGATGTTTTATGAATTTGCATCCACTGTCTTGACAGGACAGGATTTATTGAACTGTGACTTCTTCCTATTAGGATATTTTTGTCATTCCTTTGTTGATCCCAGGACACTTGAAAATGTTTTATTTTTGTCCCTTGGCAAGGACTATGCAGTGTCTCTCCTCTATCCAGCCTCCGTCATCAAGCATCTGGCAGTGTACTGTTGACTCTACCTGCACAGCTGGGATAAGCTGGAATCACAGCTATTACTTGATCCTGCATTTTTTTTAATAATCTGTATTGCCCATATAGCTCTTGCCCTGGCTGTGGTGAGACAAGTAATGACCTGGGTGTGAGAGAAGCCCAAGTTCTCAGTGATGAAGGCAGAGTGGGTGCTGCAACTTGATTTCCAATAAAAGCAGGTCAGTGGTTGTGCAGAAGCTGGGGGGGACTCAATAAGTTCCTGCTTCTGCTCTTTGTAAGGAATTGAGGAATGGCAAATGATGACATCTGTCTGTTTCTGGAAAACAAGTACAAAGATAAATCTCATTCCGGCCTATGTCATAGCTGCTATTTAATATTAGCAAAGAATAAGGATAAAAGAGTGTAGTAATGGAAGTAATAGTACCATCACCATAAGGTTAGAGATTTTGTTTCTTTCTTGGCTCTATTTGATTTAAAACTGGAAGAAGACAGTGGTGTTTCACTGCACAGGAGGGTCAGAAAAAATGTCTATGATTGTCAGAAAAAGTGTGGATGTAGAAATGGTTTTTTCACTCATCAAATTTTACAGCAGCTGAGCAGAACTCTTGAGAAATGTAGGCTTCAAGTTCTGTAAAGCTTTTCTCTGCCAAAAGCAAAAGTTAACTGGCTGCCCTCAGTGAGTGTCTGGCAGATGAAAATAACAGGAAAAAAAATGCACAGAAATGATAGCCCTGAAACTTGACAGTAGTGCAAGAAAATTAATAGGCAGTGCTGTTTGTTAGGGACATTTGTTTTTGTGCCTTTGTTTCTGCTGTTGTTTTTGTGGAAGCACTTAAAGCTGTTCTGTTTCTGTGGATGAATCTGCTTTGCTTGCTGCTGAGTCAATGTCTCCACATGAGACATAATGAAAAGAAGAGGGAGAAAAAGCTCTTTCTTCTTCTGCAGTTTCATGCTGCTGCTTCAGGTGGCTGCAACGTCTCCATGTACGTGTGCTGGCATATTGCTGTGAAAGCAGGCAGGCATTTTTCCTTTTCAGGGTGAAAGCCACACTTGCTGTCTTCTTGTCTGGGTGTGCTTTGGCTTAAGTTTGAAGATTATTTTACGTTCCATAAAAAACACGTGCCTTTAATAGTTTTTTATGACACTTATATCTGAAACTTGTTTCAAACTAGTGGCTTCAAGCAGCAATAGCCTACAAAAACACTGGCAAGTGAGTATGTTTGGAGTGCTCAGTCTTCTGAGTTGTTTTTTTTTTTTTAATGTTCTGTGAAGCAAGCTGCACTCCTTTAAACAGGCTGATGATGTACTTGATGGGTACATTCTTCTAATAGTGTCTGGACTTTGCTTCATGTGAAGTGCAACTATACCAGTGATATACCAGTGATTTGGTGTTATTCAAGAGGGGAGCAATGAGTACTTTTAGACTTGAAGATGGCTTTTTGATGTATTCTGGAACACTGTATGAAGAAGTTTAAAAAGCTGTAGGAATATGGTGGAGGTAAACAAGTTATCTTCAGGGCTTGAGGAGGGTTTTTAAGAAGTGGAGGAGCAACTCACAATCTCATACATTTTATTTATTTGAAAAAAAAATCTCTGTTCTGATGCTTACACATTTTGAAGGCTTTTTCTCTAAATCCCATACATAGAAAATATAAGCTGTTCCTTGCCTGGGAGAGATGAAGGTCCATATTTGCAGGGAATAGTACTGGGGAAATAGGTCTTGAGAGAGATGCACTAGACTTCAAGGAATGTCTGTGCTAAGGCAGGCTGAGGAGCTAGTAGCTATGCTGTGTGCGTGGATAACTCACAGTTTGGAATTAACAGAGATGCCCACAGACATGACCATACATACTGCAGGCAGGGAAAATGAGCTGCTGCTCAGATCTTCCCCTGACATCCAGTGTTGCTAACATGAAAAGTGCTCCTGGGGTCACCCTCTTCCTGTGTTATTTTTTCCAGATTCAGGTTTGGATGTGATCTCTGATAGTAATATCCTTGCAAAACTCTTGTCCATTATCAGAATGAAAATGTTATAAAAGCAGGCCAAAAGACAGAAACCTCAAAGTATGCAACTTAGAAGTTTATTAATTGTAGGTTGCTGTTTCCCACTGAGTTTCCTATGGATTTTATGTGCAATGTGTGTAGAATTCTTTGTGAAATAGATTTCCATTGATCTACACCATGTAAGCCTTTGGTGCAAGTAAGAAATCAGTTGATACATCTTACAATGCAATAGTCGCTTGCTACAGTGTGCTCTCCAAAAGGCTCTGATCACTAAAGCTCATTCAAACAAAACACTGGGCCAGAGCACCCTGACACAGGGCTTTCAGAGGAATCGATGAGCCTAACTGCCCTAATCAGCCACACTTGGGACCTGCTGCCACCTGGCCCTCCTCCCTCTGGTTGATACTGCAGAAGCTCTGCTTACACTGTGATGTGGTTTCTTCTTGCTTGAATTATGCTGTTGTTGTATTTGCTACTGGTTCTTCTCCCGATCTGCTCTCTGAATTAGCTGAATTGACCTGGATATGTTTCCTTGCCTCATTCTTGCCTGGTCCATCTGCAGGACTTTTGCAAATCTTTTTGACAAGATTTTAAAGCTGTGAGTAGCTTAAAGACAGTTGAAAGGTTGAACAGGAGAAGTTGTAGAAAAAAAAATATACTTTATTTGCTATTTTGTTTGTTTGTTTTTAGTTAATTTGGAGCTGGATACTTCCAGCTCATTTTAAATGCAGACACTGAGCTGCTCCATCATTATTGTTTTCTGTTGTTGTTATTCTTGATTCTGTTAGCCGGTGCAGTTATATTAGATGTGTGCTTTCTGAATGATAATCAGCATCACATAGCTACCTTTCCACTGATGGAAGAGAAAACAATCTTTGAGATTGGGGAACTCCCAGAGTCTGGCTTTTCAGAGACTTGGGAGCGGCCGTGCTGCTGTAGCAGTTGTTGCGTGCCTGGACACTATGTGAAGGATAAAAAGAACGGCGCCCACAGTGTAAGGTGAAGCAATCCTCTGAAGCACTGACGTTTCATCCACTTCTTGGTGTGCTCCCCTGATGGTGAGCCTGGCCTCAGTCAACCTGAAGGTGGGACATGAAGGGTATAAAGAGGGGGCGGGACGGCGTGTAGGAGCCGTTAGGTCACGGCCCGAACCACTGATTGAGCACCTGGTGAAGGGGCCGGGGGGGCACGCGTGGGGGCGCCCATCCCTGAGAGCACAGGTGCAAGCAATTCACTTGTGTGGCCAGAAGGAGGGGGCCTGGATCCACCCCTAATGAACCTCATTTAACGGCACGCAGCCGACGGGGAAACATCTTTACCTGGAGGTGGTTTCCTTCGGATGCTTCTGGAAAACACTTATCCTTGGAAAACGGTAAGTTATTATTTGTTACTGGTCTGTGACTAATATCTTTCTTAGGTGATCTAGAAACTAGTCAAAGGCAATTATAACTGTTGCCTCTTATCGATGGTTCTAGAAAAAAGGCTGCTTGTGAGTTAGCTGCTGGTAGTGGAGGGCGGGAACAGGAAATCTAATTTTTAGTTTTAATTCTGCTCACGGTAACCTTTCATGCAGGAGGAGACTTCAGCTTGTGGGCTCAGTAGTGGCTCTGGACCCATGCTGTTCTCATGGGTGGTGATCTTCTAACAATTTATTAGTTAACAAATTTACTTGTAATAACGTAGATGTGGTTAACAAAGAATATAATTTAGCATTTTATGCTAAAAACTCTTGATTTCCATGCTTTTACTGTTTAGCTAGCTGAATGCATGACTCTGCTTTCACAGCATAAAAATTCTCCAGTAACTGCGTGGTTTGGAGCCATCCAGAGCCAAGTGAGTAAGAAATCATCCATGTAATGCTGGGCATATGCTTAAAGCATCAAAGTCTGTTCAGGAAACTAAATGGCCCATGAGCTTTGCTGAGTTTATTACTTCTTGAAAAGCAAAAAAATTACTTGTCTCAGGAAGCAAATGCACTGTTTCCAGTAGCATCTGTAGTTTACTGGCAAAGAAGGATGACAAACCAAATTATGCCTGCTTCTTTCTCACTTTTCTTTAAGAAGCTAAGTGTCCAACCACAATGCTCAACCATGTGTTTATTTGGTTGCTTCAAAATGATGTGACAGAAAGAAAAGTCAACATGCAACCATTTATCAATTTTGCAGTTGGATTTAATAAATGCTGTATGAGTTTATATTCTGTTGCTGGCTTGTTTTGGAGAATTTGCCACCACAGATAAATCTGAAAGTTCAAGGGAAGAAATTATGAAAGGGAATATGTAATTTCTTTACTGTAGCTGCTATTTCATT